GGAATAAAGCGATCGATTGCGATCAGAGGGAATTACCTGTAAGTAACGAGACCCCAATTTTCCATTGCGCCTGCCGAGAAATCTTTCAGCGACACTTGGTCCATTTTTTTAATCTCGTCACTATACGGGATTTCCATATAGTCGTCCAATTCCTTCATCAGATACACACTCACGTTCAAAGCGTATTCCGTCTGTTTCACGGCGTGCGGTTTCGTCCAAACTTTGAACTCGATGTCGTTCTCGGTTCTGTTGCTCGACTCGTAATCGGAGACCACGAATGCCACCAAGTAGGTGGACATCTTCGGTGTTGTGTCGAACTTGGATACGACCTTTTCATTCTCAATCGTTATACTTTTATTTTTCATATTCGAAATCGCTTTGTACGATTTTGAATGGGTTATAGAGATGTTGAAAGTCGCCTTGAAATCGGGCTCGTCCCAACAAGGGAACGCTAATCGAGCGCCTGTCGGCTCGAAGTGGGTCGCGGCAACATATCTGCAAGATGCAAGAACAAAATATTTGGAAACAATAGAGATTTGAGACGATGAAACGATGTCGTCGAGAATTATTTTTACAGCCAAACTCGACGCTTTGTTGAGAATGGGATGGAATTATTATTGGATGATCGCTTTTAATCGAGAATAATTTTTGAGAATTATTCGATAATAATAATATTGGAGATGAAACTTGTGGATAAAGTATTACTCTTTTACATTCGTGGAAGATATTCTTTCAAATATAAATTTGATGTAGAATAATTCTTGGATGTTTTATGCTTGGGATTCATTTAAGAGTGAACAGTTACAGTGAGAATATTGCATCAGAGAATTGAAAAAATTATTCTCGAATAGCGAACGAAATATTTATGGAAAATCAAGGGAATGTGAATCTTAATTGTGATTATTCAAAATTAATTAATTTTCATTCTCAAAGTATGAAAGCGCTAGTTCTGCAGTATCCATTAATAAGAAATAATTCTCGACATTACAATTCTCAAATATGCTCGCATATATAATATGATACGATTCTTTGGTGAGCAAAAGATCGTTGCAACGGAATAATGGAATAAAACAAAATTTTTAGAAGAGAAAAAAACGTGTTAAAATGATATTTCATTTTTCTATCTTTCTATTTATCCGTATCGTAAATATGTACGAGCAAAAATAACGATTCTTTGTGGTATTCTAAATTTTTCCAAAAATCTGCAAACAAGATGATTACTTTACTTACTTTATATTATTGTTCTTATCGATGTATCTACTCCTATAAAATCCTCTCTTCTGATCGTTCAACTCGGCAGAATAATTTATCGTAAGTATATAGTTTCCCTTTTTAATAACATCGTTCTCAGGTTTTATAATCAAAAGTTCTTCCTCTTCTGCTAGATCATCTATTTTAACTTTTACATCATTCGTTTTTCCATCCAAATTTTTCAGGTTTACGCTCTTGATATTGAGATTCTTTTGATTCAATGTTATATTATTAACTTCTACTTTAACTTCGATCGCGATATCCACACTGCCAGTGAACGTGAAATTATCCAAATTCGGTTCCAAACTTAATGCGTACGACGATGGTACGACGTCGGTTGGGAGTCTGTACATGTACTGTTTTTCCTCTTGAGGATCGATCGTGTCCCCGAATAGAAAATTCGCTTGACAGATCGTCAAGCAGAGAAGCAACAACGCTTTGGCCATCCTGGATCGATATAAATATTCACTCGATTATCTTTCGTGTAAGATCACTTATCGTACATTGGTCACTTTGTGTCCTGGATGTGTACGAGGGCGATCTATTTTTCGAATTTTGCCGCGCGAGAAGGCGATTGTTTAAATAGGAGACATACGAGGTGTGACGTTTAATTAAACACGAATTAAAGAATGAAAAAATATTTCCTTCCACGAAATATATTCTTCGAAATATAACTCTTTTGAAAAGATAGAATAAAGATTAAAATTTTCCAACGAAACAATTTTTATCGAAACTGAACTGTTGCCTATAGTTGCCTATAGTTGTATATATCAAAAATAACAACACTCGAGATGAGAGAAAACAATTAAATTGAAAGCTATGGAATATAATATATTGATGTACTACTCGTTTATGTAACTCAACAACACAATAACATACTCTTGCTAACTCGTTATCAAATACGTTCCAATTGAAATTTGGATAACTGGGGATTAAATATTATATATTTTAAATATCAAAATGTTTCGATATGACAAGAATCGGTCGATCGTTTCTTTTTTTTAGACATACCTCGTATGTATGTATCCTTTCAGCACGAGTGTATCGAACACGAATGAAAGAAAATAATCTATCGTGGTTAATTGAATCTTAGAAGAAAGAAAAGAGAAAGAAAAATCTAATAATAATAAATCTTCTCGACGTTTAAAGATTTCATAAAGATTTCATTGACCTCGATTCCAAAATTGTCGTTCCCCCAAAACGATTTTCCGCGATCGTTCGATAAAGGAAAATTGTGCCGGATATTATTAACGACGTACCTTGATGATAAATGGATCAGCCAGCCGACTTTACACCATGCAAAATCCCGGGCAATAAATTAATTACGCGTCGACGATTGCTTTATGAATGACTTACCTGTACAAGTGTTCGTGCTTTATAAGGTAAGGCACGTTGAAACCATTATCAAAAATCTGCCTAACTTTCCTTATCAATATTTCTTTATCAATCGGCGCGTTGTCACGATTCAAAGTATTATATTGTCGGATAGTGACCGATATATGTATACGCATATACATATAAACTTATTATATCCGTAAATTCTTTTTTCGAAATGGTTGACGTACCTTGATCCGCTTTATCGATAATGTGTTATTATGAATGGTATATTGATGGTGTTCGAATATCTTTTTTATTTTTTTTATTTTTTTTTTTAAACTTTTCAACTATTCTTTTTTTAATGAATAACTTTTAATAATTTTTTCTTTTTTTAAGAAGATATCGTGTTTTAAGGAAGTGAAATTGTTTCAATTTTTTAAATATAATTCTGTAATGATGCCAGATAGAGTTTTAAATCATGAAACGTTTAAAATTTAATGCTTTATTTATCGATCTATCTAAAAAAAATTTTCAGACAAAATTATATGTGAAACTCGAAATGTGAAATATTCAAATTTTATTGATTTTGTATTTTGAAAGAGATTTCTCGTCGACAATAAAAAATTACTCTGCATATCAATTATTTTTATATAAATTTTTATTAAAATCAGAATTTTCGAGTTAAATGAATTTCTTTGTATGTAATAATATTCAAGTATTACATGTATATTTACAAGATGTCCAATTTTAATTTGACGATTGCAAATTTTTATGTAATATTAAATTTTATCAATATTTATCAAACGTAAATAAAAATATGGAGCTTGTGTACGAATGTTTCATCTTTTGAAAATATAAAAATATTTCAATTTTGAAAATACTTTAATCTGAATATACAAATTTATAATTATACGAATACCGTTTTAAAATGACATAAGGTGATATTGATTTTGATTTTGATATTTAATATGTAAATATAAATATATGTACAAATTCGTATTTCATAAATTTCTTAAATAATACGGTAAAATAATATGATTGATGTCGTTTCATTGACCTCTTACTTTCTAAAAAAAAAAAATGCCAACTGTCAATTTAGAAAATGTAAATATAATATCAGAGATTAAATTTTTTATATATTATTTTATAAACTAACGATTTTAAATAGTTTTATTTATTTAATACTTTATTTTTAAAAGAAATTATACGATTCCAGCTAATCCATCTTCAGAAAAATTAATTACGTTAAATTATAAATTTTTTCGTTGAAACTTCGTTCGAATTTTTAACCGAAAATTTTTGTATATACAGCGAATACAATTTAATTTATAGATTATCGAAGAATTGAATATTCCGTGTAGTTTAAATTAACTGGATACTGATAAGTCTTTATTAACTCGTTTCACTCTGTTTTATCGAAAATACAATTGATTGAACAATATTTCATTACGTTGGGTAACTCCTCATCTCGATTTACTAAAACATGATAACGTGATAAATCTTATCGTTCTAATTATTCTACGTTACTTACTGTGAAAGAAATATATTTCAATTATATTCTAAGATCGCACTATTTTTTTTTTTAATTATTAAGAAATAATAATAATTATAATAAAAAGAAAAAAAATGTGAAATAATTTTCTTTTTTTTTATATTTTTGTGTAATAGAGAAAGTATTTCGTTTGCAATCATTGCAAAATATCATTTTGCAAGTACTACTTCGTATAATTAACATATAATTAACATTTGATCATCGTCATGGATTTTCATAAATTTGACCAAAAATGTCAAATCATTTCATTATTTTATAAATTTTTGTCATTATTTTTGCCTGTTTTTTTCGATTAATTATATACTTCTGTTTTCATTTTTGTAACAAATTTTAACTTCATTTTATTATATGAATATTATTATTATATGAATATTCTATAAGAGGCTAACGTATTATATCGTATACACTGTATATGTATATAAGATTATTCTTGTACATATATAAGAAATAATAAATGACAAACAGAATATTCTGAAATACGAGATAGTAATTTTTAATAAATCAATCAGTTTCCACGAATACTTAATTTATCATAAATTGATTATTTAATGAACAATCGATGATTATCAGATATTGTTTGTACTCGATATTGGCGATCCAATACTCATAATTTTCATGACGTATTGATCAAGAATTTGTTCGTTCGATGTTTAATGTGTCGAATAATTAAGGGAAATGGAACGATGTCAAACGATTTTTGATGTTTATGAAATTCTAATGTTTATGAATTTTAAACGAAACCTTATGTGAAATTGAAAGGTCTGTTTATCTTTTATTTTTGAAAAATTGTATAAGAATATTAGTTATAATGCAATAAAAAATATTTATGTCAGATAAGATTGTTATAACTTATGTTTCTAATTATCATTATCAATATTATAAATCATACTTTCGAATAATTCGAAAAAATTGAATCTTGTTATTTTGATTAAAAGAAATTGATAAAGATAAATAAAGAAAACGTTTTCTTTATTTTATTCTATTCATTATTCTATTCATTATTTGCTTATCTATTCATTTATCTTTGTAACGTGTGATTAATTAATTGCATTATTGATACGAAAGAAATTTAATACGACGATGATCAAATTGAAATTTATATATCGACTTAACAATTCTCAAATAATTACATCCATTATTATCTGATGTCAATTGATAAAGACACGAATAAGTATTATTAAAATGATATATAAAAATTCTTAAAAAATGCTTTCAAGTAGATTATTTAATATAGAATAATGATAAATTAAAAACGATGGAAAATTTTTATATATATTTTAATTTATCAATTTTTATTAAATATTAATGAAATAAAATTTAAATTTGTATTTAGTTACAAAGTTGAAATTTCTTAAAAAATATATTTCCCAATTATTTTAGTTATAATAAAAAAAAAAATCGTTTACTGATTAATTATTATGCCCAATATATTAATTATATAATTTCAAAATATTCTGCGATTTTGGGCACGTATTTCTTGATCCACTTCACATTTTCCAAGGCCACGGATAATGCTTGTTTCGCTGTATCTAAACTCGATCCTAGATTTTTGGAATATTCTTCAATGAACGCGGAAAGCTGCAATACAAATAAATTATTAAAAGATATATATATTTTTCAAATGATTTTGATTTTATTCAAATCATTCAGTCGAGTATATTTTTCAATTTCAATTAAAATTATCTCAATGCAATTAATTGCCATTTTTCGCTAATTTTCTTTTTTTCTTAATATTAATCTAAAAAATTTTGAAATGAAGCTATACTTAATAAATATATAGGATTATAATATATAATTATAATCTTATGTTTTATCTATTATATATTATCTGCTATCTTTATCAATTGCGATTCGTTTAAAATTCGAAAAATAAATATTATTCAATATTATTCAATATTATTCAATATATAATTCATATAGATCAATTTTATATATTCATGACACAATTATTAATAAATACATCCTATTTTATTATCCAAGATATTACTAAGTTTAACTTAGATTAAAACAAGATAATAATATAGAAGTAGTATAAAAATTATTAAATAATCAGAAAATAAATATAACAAAAAATATATATATATAAATGAATAATTCAAAATAATAATACCTTTCTCGTTTGAGCTGTTGTTATCATCATTTTTCCGATTCCAGTAATTATTTTGTCCAAGAAATCATATCCCCTTCTATAAAAAAAAGAAGAAAAGTTCATATGTATTGCAAAGAAATCTGTTATTACCATAATATTCAATCAACATTTTGGACAAAATAATTTTTCAAGTATTTCATATTTTATTTTACTTTATTAATCTATTTTAAATAACATTATTGGAATATTTATAACATAAATATCTTATTAATTATTTTTGTTTGATACTTAACCGTTTATTAATCTATTTCTAATTAACATGTTATTCTGTGAAGCATGGAATTTTTTTTTCCAAATTTCTCGTCCTAATCAAATTTTAACGAATATCGATTTAATCGAAGAAATAATTCACACGTTGATGTTTGCTTCTTATATATGAAAAATATTTACTTGTTATCTTTAATTTTATATAATTAATTTAGAATAATCAAATATCCGATAAAAACGATTCAATATATTTCTCAAAATAAAATTTTTAAGTTTATATCGTTTTTTTTTTATTAAATAAACTTAAATATCTTTTATTTTCATTGATTAAATTATATTACATTTATCTATTTTCTTAATTTGATATATTCGTGTGAAACGAAAAAAATATGTCAGAAATTTGATATTAATGTAATCAGTATAACAAGATAAAAAAAAAACATGGTTAAAATTAATTCTACGAATGAATGTAATAAATTTATGAGTTTCTACGTACAGTTCGATGATTCTTGTTAAATTCGATTGAACGAATTTCAAAACGTGATCGACATTTTTCACATCTCCATCCAAAATAGCATTCACTATCATTATTCTTTGCTGTTTACGAACATTCTTTTCATTCGATATTGATACATCGAGATATCTGTAGAAAAAATATTTCAGGTTAAAATCTGATCAAGGACAAGTGGATTCTTTTAAACAATTTGAATACACACTAAATATACGTATATATAGATATTTCATTTGAAATTATAAATTTATATGATATTTGAAGATTAAATTAATATAATTAAATTAAATATAATTTAATATAAGTTAAATTAAAATTTTATTACTTTATTCTTTCAATTTTTTTTCTTTATCAATATCATGATTTCCATTATAATACAAATTAGTATATTTATTTTATTATTGAATCATTACTCATTTTGAAAGAGAGAAATTATAATAAAATTATATAAAATATTGTATGTAATATTTGTCACTAGTTTAATCTCACTCGTTTCATTCAATTAATTTAATCAATTAAGCAATTTAATTAATCAATTAAATTAATCATTACCGTTCAAAGTTCGAAAGCAATCATATTTCTGCATGAAATTGAAAATTTTTTGTAAGTATTATAAAATTAATCGTTTCTGATAATTATTTATTGATAATGATAACTACTTTAGGCAAAGAAAAATTAATAAATAGAATATCTAAAATTTGTATAGAAATGATAGAAAAAAAGAAAAAGAAAGAAAGATGATCATTTTTAAAG